GCGAAGAGTGATGGGCAGTGAGAGAGCATAGTGAAGAGGAGCGTGTGGGTATGTGGTACACGATGGGTGCTGTGATGAGATGATGGTTTCTTTCAGTTTTAGGATTTGGGATATGGATGTTTGGGAGGTGAGGGACTTGGGGTTGTGATTTGGGAATTGGGGAAATTTACTAATTTATTAATTTACTAATTTACTAATTTACTAATTTACCAATTTACCAATTTACTAATTTACTAATTTACTAATTTACTAATTTACTAATTTACTAATTTACTAATTTACTCATTAACTAATTTACTAATTTACTAATTTACTAAGCCTCCAATACTGGAGGAAGTAAGAATTGGGGAAACTAGAAGTGGGGAAGGTGAAATTGGGGAAATTGCAATTGGAAAATTTGGGAATTGGAGAAAGTGGAATTTGGGAAATTGGGAGTTGGGGAAATTGGAATTGGGGAAAGCGGATGTTGGGGAAATTGGAATTGGAGAAAGTGAAATTCGGGAAATTGGGAGTTGGGGAAATTGGAATTGGGGAAAGTGGAAGTTGAGGAAATTGGGAATTGGGGAAATTGGAATTGGGGAAAGTGGAATTTGGGAAATTGGGAGTTGGGGAAATTGGAATTATGGAAAGTGGAAGTTGGGGAAATTGGAATTGGAGAAATTGGGAATTGGGGAAAGTGGAAGTTGGGGAAATTAGAATTGGGAATTTGGGAATTGGAGAAATTGGAATTTGGGAAATTGGGAGTTGGGGAAATTGGAATTGGGAAAAGTGGAAGTTGGGGAAATTGGAATTGGGGAAAGTGAAAGTTGGTGAAAGTGGAAGTTGGGGCAATTGGAATTGGGGAAAATGGAATTGGGGAATGTAGAAATTGAGGAAGTTGGGAATTTGGGAAATTGGGAGTTGGGGAAATTGGAATTGGGAAAAGTGGAAGTTGGGGAAATTGGAATTGGGGAAAGTGAAAGTTGGTGAAAGTGGAAGTTGGGGCAATTGGAATTGGGGAAAGTGGAATTGGGGAATGTAGAAATTGAGGAAGTTGGGAATTTGGGAAATTGAGAATTAGGGAAATTGGGATTTGGGAAAAGTGGAAGTTGGGGAAATTGGAATTGGGGAAAGTGAAAGTTGGTGAAAGTGGAAGTTGGGGCAATTGGAATTGGGGAAAGTGGAATTTGGGGAATGTAGAAATTGAGGAAGTTGGGAATTTGGGAAATTGAGAATTGGGGAAATTGGGAATTGGGGAAAGTGGAATTGGGGAATGTAAAAATTGTGGAAATTGGGAATTGGGGAAATTAGAAATTGGGAAAAGGGGAAATTGATAATTCGGAATTGAAGAAAATGAGAAAATTGAGGAAACTGTGAATCAGGAAAAAACTATAATTCGAATCTTGTACCGCCCTCCCTCCGTAATACGCCTTTTACCTGACAGATACCTAAGAAACAGTCCGACCATTCCGAAGAGCAGCTGATAATACGGCGTTAATGTGTGCAAATAGAATTATACGTTTTATCCGTTGCGGAAATATTACGTTTAAATATATTACAATGTATCATGACATGGCAGTCACGATCCGTTCCGCTTTGTTGACTTCCCGCGCGGAATAAATCACTGTTCATCCGACGTTCCACGATCGAGCGTTGTTCTCTTCGCTTGTTCTCCATCCGCGACGCGTTTTTTCTGAAGCTTGCGTAAAAAAAATAAACGAAGCTACCCGTGTCATCGTTCACGCGAATACGAGGTCTGTCGAGAACGTATTTCATCGCGTTTTTACAACGCGTAATTCTAAATGTATCACCGGGGAGATAGATTTTAACCAGAGCACGAACTACGGAGATAATATGTACTGCGACTTTTGACAGCGCGTATGAATTCTATCGTGTACGGTAGCCATGAAATATCCCTTGTCTATAGGGAATAAAAATCAAACCTTGTTCAACGAGCGAATATTAACTGGCAAGTTACTGTGCACGTCGATGAGTTTCAAGCGTGTCTAGTCGACTCCATGTTCGAAGTCCGCGCCTTCATTTGCGCGCGAAATTTGAAAACCTAAAATCTCCATCTTCGTAAAATATATTTAATCTCTATTTGTCCGAGCTTTCGTCGTCGACGCTGCAAGAGTTATTACTTTAATTACAATTTATTGTTAAGTTTCTTATTAATTCACACGAAATTATGGACTCGCATTTTTAATTGATATCTTCAGAAATACGTCTGTTAATCTATATTGAAATCGGCGATTATAAAAATTGTATTGTGTAGTATAATTACGTATACGCAATATAAACTGAGCTGTGTAATTACAGATATCTATAATTACAATCTGTAATTATTTTCGTTAACGAACGCGTTAATGAAATAGTAATTTACGAAGTAGTAAAATACGTTCAAACACGTTTCATCAGTTTTAATGAAACGAAATAAACAGACGCCGAACGGGAACATTCGCCGTCGCGGAAAGATAAATAATTGAAAGAGTAATTAAAAAAGTTGATTAAGTATAATTAAATGGGGGAGATTAATTGTTGCTGGTCCCGTGATCCTGTCGAGATTCGACGAACTATCGGTGTCTCTCGGTGGAAATTTTTCGGGGCTCGCGTTCGACCAATTTTCGTCGCGATTTCCGCCGTGTTGGGTCCCGCACTTCCGGTACACGCGTGGCTCGTTTCTAGTCGCGCACGGGAAATTGCAGGGGAAATTCGAAAGTTCGCGCGATACCCTATGAATTCCAATCGACCTTGCTGCTTCTCTCGATCACTCGGCTCACCGTGTTCTCATCGAATTCGTGCCAATAAAATCGAACTTTCCACCGATGCTCTATCGTCCACTATGCTCCAGATACGTTTCTTAACATTTTCACTACATATTTAGGCAAATCATTTTTTATTCCATTCTTGGATGTAATTTTTTTTAAAAATTAGTTTTAGTTTGTTTTTAGTAATTGTTTAAAATTATTTATTTCACAGTTTTTGTTCTGTACACTCTCAAGTTCTAATTGATATTAAAGTTATTTTATACAGTCGTTATTATTGTTTGAAATAGTACATGAAGAGTACTGTGGCGTTTATGACGATTGTGGTTTGGTATGTTCTATGTTCATTGATTTTTGTAGTAAAATGTATTTAAGGAATTTGAGGGTGAGTGTACGGTTGAGGGATTTAGAGTTGTGGATTTGGGAATTGGGGAATTTTGGAATAGGGGTAGGTGGAAATAGGGGAAATTAGGAATGACAGAAATTAGAATTGGGAGCATTGGGAATTGGGGAAATAGAAATTGGGGAAATTGGAATTGGGAGAATTGGGAATTAGGGAAAGTGGAAATTGGAGAAATTAGAATTAGGGAAATTAGGAATGGCAGAAATTAGAATTGGAAGAATTGGGAATTGGGGAAATAGGAAATTGGGGAAAGTGGAATTGGGGAAAGTGGAATTGGGGAAATTGGGAATTGGGGAAATTGGGAATTGGGGAAGGTGGAATTGGGGAAAGTGGAAGTTGGGGAAATTGGAATTGGAGAATTTGGGAATTGGGGAAGGTGGAATTGGGGAAAGTGGAAGTGGGGGAAATTGGAATTGGAGAATTTGGGAATTGGGGAAAGTGGAATTGGGGAAATTGGGAATTGGAGAAAGTAGAAATTGGGGAAAGTGGAAATTGAGGAAATTAGAATTGGGAAATAGGAATTGCAGAAATTAGAATTGGAAGAATTGGGAATTGAAGAAAGTGGAAATTGGGAAAATTGGAATTGGGGAAAATGGAATTGGGAAAATTGGAATTGCATTAAATTGAGAAAGTGGAAATCGAAGAAATTAGAATTGGAGAAATTAGTTTCCATATTTACATTAATACCAAATATAATTTTACACGCTACAGTAATCAATATATTATTAAATAAAATTACAGGGACTACAAAATCCATGAAATCCTGAAACAAAAGAAAAGAAGGATTGGCCAATCGACATTTTGCTACATGATTTGCTAAACGTTGTTCTTAGATGCCGGTACTAGCTGACATTTGTCGAGGCAATCGTTTCTCGTTCGAGCACGCTTTCCTCTTACGTTGATTGCTTGGCAGTAAACAAGGCACCACGCAATCTCACGTTCGATTGCTTCCTTCTGAAATGCATGCTGCGATCAAGTTTGCTCCTACGAATTAACCGTATCGTCGTAAAACGTGCTTGAAAGTAATTTCTTTTCATATTTACTTACGCAAATGCTGTTGATCGAGGTGTTACATTCGTCTTTCTCTTATCATCTTATCTCAGCAATTATCTCTTCTGCACTTTCAATGTTTCACATTAAATGTTCTTTTTTCAATGTACTTAAATATTTCAGAATTTAATTTAGACCTTTTGAGGTATTTTTTGTTCTGTTTCTTAGAGATAGAATTGTTTGAAATTCTACAGGGTGGTTCAAAATGAGAGGTCATTTAAAGCTAAACAACTGTTGCTGAGTTTTATAGAGAAATGAGTTTATTAAACTTTTTATGTAATTTTGCTTTGAATGTAACAAACTTTGCTTCTGCAAGAATACTTTGTTTTAATTTAAGATTTTATTTAACATCATTTTTAAATGTGGAGGAGCAACAAAAATGTGGTACCATAGATGGAAATGTTTATTTTCTTGATTTTCATATTTAATTTCAAGATAGTCGTCTCAGATACACTGTATAAAAATTATTTTCTATTTCAGTTATTTACAAAATTTTAAATATCTAAAAATATGTAACATGCTTAAAAATATTGTTCCATAGGAAATTCGTCACAATACAAAAGATCAAAGAGTATAAAATCATTTTTTTTTATCTTGAACGCCACAGAGACAAAATACAAAATGAAATTATAAAGGAGAAAATACAAAATGAAATTATAAAGGAGAAAATATACAGGAAATTATAAAGAAAATATGAAAGAGCGATAGAGTAAAATCTTTGAGGGAGATCAATAATAGTAATAATTTGCAATTAGTAATCGATGGAATTAACGAGTCTAAACATTCGTGTTATTTCGTTTCAGTATCAAAGGGACTCGTCCATCGAAGGACCGCGTCAAAGATCGGTGAGTAACTCTTCGTTTTATGGTGGTCTAAATCGATAGGACGAGGCAAAACAATTAGAAAGGAGAGGATGTATTTCCCATGAGAGAAAACAAAGGGTAGTGGGACGAGTAAAGGTAAAAGAGGGACGATAGTGTGGCTCTGGTACGCTAATGGGAAGGGCCTCAGTACACGTTCATCGTCCACAGTCTACGTACTCGTGCCGATCGATCGATATATCGATAGACCCCTTCTGTTCGTGTATCTGCGCCGCATGCTTACAGGGGTAGTTAATTACGTTTAATACCCTCGATTATGTGTTTGCATCGAATACACATACTCGATGAATGCGTCATACTTCTCTTGGCCTCATCATTTTCTATGTTTCGATCGTCTTGTCATATTTAATTCGATGTCTCATATTTTTTCAAAATTACTTTTGTATTTATTGTACTAGGCTGCTGTGAGAGTTTATCATTTCTTTTGGAGAAAATTATTTTCGAGTTTATTTGGATATTTTATTAATTTCTGAAACTTTAATTACTCAAATGTGCTACCAGATTTCTAGGTCCACAGTTTCTTAGGTCACCATATTTCTAGATTCTTGTATTCATACATCTGCAACTTCAAAGATCCTCAAATGTACTAGCAGATTTCTAGGTCCACAGTTTCTTAGGTCACCATATTTCTAGATTCTTGTATTTATACACCTCCACCTTCAAGGATCCTCAAATGTGCTACCAGATTTCTGGGTCCACAGTTTCTTAGGTCACCATATTTCTAGATTCTTGTATTCATACATCTGCAACTTCAAAGATCCTCAAATGTGCTACCAGATTTCTAGGTCCACAATGTCCTTGATAATCAAATTCCTAGATTTTTATATTCATACATCTCCAACTTCAAAGATCCTCAAATGTGCTACCAGACTTCTAGGTCCACAATGTCCTTGATCATCAAATTCCTAGATTTTTATATTCATACATCTACAACTTCTAAGAACCTCAAACGTACTACCACATTTTAGGTCCACATTTTTGTCGCTCAGCAAATTCCTCAATTTTTGATATTTGTATATCTGCAGCTTCAAAGATTCTCAAATGTACTACCACATTTTTAGGTTCTGAAGATTTTTATATTCCTACATTTGCAACTTTAAAAAACCTCAAACGAGTATATTTTAAACACTACACAATCATCCTATCTCATTCTAAAAATCAGAAATTAGGCTCGATCCGAAGCTTGTTTGCGTACAAAGTGAACTCGAAGACGTTGCTAGACACGTAGGAGGGGCGAACAGCAGGCATAGCCGAGACTAAAAGGGAAATGAGAATGAATGTAATAATATATTTAATATTCGTCGGGTCCCTGGCTCCTTCACTCTCGGTATTACAAGTCAACCAATATTCTCGCCCCTGTTCCAAACCACTCACTCTCTCGCCCTTCCTCCTCTATTTCTTTCCCGCCTCTTCCCTCTCTCTTTCGCGGTACTCTTACCTACTCACATAGTTCCCTATCTCCGTTCTTTCGACGTTTGTTCCGCGTACCTTTGTCCCTCCTCTACTTTCAAAGTGCACCGACATTATTTCCGCTGTAACCAAAGCAACACTCGCGGGGCTCGGAGGTACATTCGCGTGCAACGTAGGCTTTCGAGATTTTGAGATTTGGGGATTTGGAGATTTGGAGATTTGGGGATTTGGAAATTTCAAATCGCCAAATTCTCAAATTTCCATCTTCCCAAATTTCCATTTTCCCAAATTTCCATTTTCTCAAATTTCCATATTCCCAAATTTCCACCTTCTCAAATCCCCATATCTCCAAATTTCCATCTTCCGAAATCCCCATATCCCCAAATTTCCACCTTCTCAAATTCCCAACTTTTCAAATCCCCATATTCCCAAATTTCCACCTTCTCAAATCCCCATATCTCCAAATTTCCATCTTCTCAAACCCCCAAATCCTCAAATCTCCATATCTCCAAATGTCCACCTTCTCAAATCCCCAAATCCCCAAAGTTCCACCTTCCCAAGTCCCCATATCTCCAAATTTCCATCTTCCTAAATCCCCAAATCGCCAAATCCCTGAATTCCTAAATCCCCAAATCTCTAAATCTCCAAATCCCTAAATCCATAAAACCCTAAATCCCCAAATCCCCAAATCCCTCGATTTCCAAATCCCCAAATCCTGAAATTACCCAAATTCCAAATTCCCCAAATCCCTAAATCCCCAAATCTCTAAAATCCCATATCCCTGAATCCCCATACTTTGCTATCTCCACGACCTTAAATCCCCAAATCCTAAAATCTCAAAATCCCCATATGAACCTATGAACCGCTCCCCACTCACCATATCGTCCCTAGGGAATTCAGATTTGCCATCGACTGTACGCACGGAGGAAAGGAGATGGCTGTTACCTACTTCGAAACGCTCACGATCGAATCGAAGTGAATTCCGTTGTTTGTATTTAACGGGCCGCGTCGACGATCGGCCGGCGCCTTCGGAAATGAACGGTACTTCGGGTTTGGTCCGAGTATCGCTCGAATCTATGATCCGGCTGATAATCTGATGGAAATAATCGGGTTTGTATTAACGCGTTTAGTGCTGCCAGAATTCGGACTTCTCGAACCGAGTCTGATCAATTTATTCCTCCATTGTAAACTGGGTATTAACACTCCGTGCACATGAACGACATTTCCCGTGAGATATGTCCTTCTTTGCTTGCTTGGTCAATTGTCATCTGGTAAATTGCATGAAAAGTCATTCCAGTGCGTTTACAGTAAGGTTGCTTTTGGATATACAGAGAATTGTGGAGAGAGCATACAGTGTCATACTAAGCAATTAATTGGAGTAATCGAACTTTAATAAGGTTTGGATGAATGACTTTAATGTTTGAGGTATATGAATGTGGTTAGTAGTATGTAGTTTTATTTAAGATATTAATCATGCAATATTTCTCTGTATTTCTCAGTTTGCGAGTATTGAAGGTTTGACAGAAAATAATTCATGAAAATTACATTTGATTTTATGTTGCCTTCATTCATCACAATGACATTTTGTAATTATATAAACGAAAATTAATGTTCATATTACTGTTCATTGCACAATATTGTTAACTGAAATATTAGTTTATATATAGGCTGATAAATTACTATTAAAAAGCCCGTTATTACATAGTCTTTACAAGTGTATAGTTCCTCGAACTCCACTACCGTTCACTGTAACTGATCGCGCTCGGACCTGAGGTACGATCAGTTACCGCGACCATGTATATCAGAGAAAGGAAAACCAAGTGCATCTTCCCTGTCAGATTTTTATTTGCATCTCATGTGCATCTTTCTTACAGAACGATCTCATATATTTTACGTTAACCACTCGACTTGGTCCAATGCAACAATGTGTGTAAATATCAAGTCACCAAAATGTCACCATAAGGGTTAAATAATTACCATCCTTCGGTATTAAAAACCAGTGACAATTTTGATTTTCTCATTCCGTTGGAAGAGGGGTGAGCTGCGTTGGCATCACGTGCCACGTGATATTAGTTCATATATATCGCGGGGGTAAACATGCAGCAGCGGTGCGGAGACAGGTCGAGGGGGTAGAAGAAAAGAGTGTGTGGGTGAAAGTAGCTGGTCCCGCGAGGACCTGCGAAGGAAGGGCACGTATTCGATGTAAACTATAAAACGTACCCCGTTTGCGGTCCTCCCATCCTCCCTTCATCCCCCTCGGCGTGCTCCGAGATCGCTAACATCGTCGCAGAGTCTGCCCCATCCCAGCCCTGGCAACCTGCTCGCTCGCGTAGCATATTGAATCTTATGAATTTGTGGCCCGTGCGGTCGGGCCACCTCCGGGGAAAAATTTAATTTCCAACGATTTCGGGCTTTACGCTGACGTGGGCAGCGTTTTCAGGCAACAGTATCTTCCTTCCCTCTGCTTGGAAATCATAGTCGGTACACTATACTCGACACCTCTTTCTATCTTCTTGATTGTTACGTCTGCAATGGTTGGTCTGATAGTTTAAATATTGGGAGATATCATAGGTGTGTTTTGGAGGATAAGTAGGAGATTTTAATCTTTATAGGGAAGGTAGACTTGTTTTTTGGGGCAGGTTGATTTTCTGTCAGTTTAATTCGGAATATTAACATATGTGTAGGGGTTGATTGAATGGGGTTCATATGTGGGACTTGATTGGATTCATATGTGGTTCTTATTCTTGTGATTTGTAGATCAGATTGATTGATGTTTTGTAATATTAAACGAGTTAAATACATTGAGTACATTGAGTACATTGACTACATTGAACACATTGAATACATTGAGTGCATTGAGTACATTGAGTACATTGAATACACTGAGTACATTGAATACATTGAATACATTGAGTACATTAAATACATTGAGTACATTGAGTACATCGAGTACATTGAATACATTGAATACATTGAATACATTGAATACATTGAGTAGATTAAATATAGTGATTACATTGAATACATATATTGCCTACATTGAATATATTGAATACATTGAATTCATCGAACTCATTAAATTTGTCTAATTCATTGAATACATAAAATTCATAAAATTCATAAAATTCATAAAAAATTCAAGTATAACAATCCTTCTCCTAAAAACCTAACATTACCATATAAAATATTAATACACCGCATTAACAATGTATACTATAAACTATAATAAAGATAAAGATCAGGTATCAAAGCATAATTTGAAGTTGCGTGTTACGATAAGAATATGTATCGTTTAATAAAGCGTTAGCGCAATTCGATCGTGACTCGTTTTTGATGGACACAGAAATGATAGCCGTTCATTGTGGGTCCTCGAAAACGTTTCATGAACATAAGTAGAGACTAGCCAGTCGAATTTGATTGTATCGTTCGATAAGGTAACACGCGATAGTAAATATCCGGCTGGGTATGTACTTTCTTCGATCGGATCCATACGTATGCATTGAAAGATTGAATTTCATGTTTCCCGCGAAATTTACCACCCGGTCTACATATAG